CCAGGGGTGGCCTAGATAGATGAGGGTATGAAGATTCTTCACAGCAAAGAAAATCTCCCAAGACCTCCTTTTGTTTTCAAAAATTCCATTTAAAGCCCGTCAGCCACCGGTGGCTGACATTGTCGCGAATGGGTTAAGGTCTTTATCCATTGCCTTCATACTTCGAGAACCATGAAGGCAACGGATGGTTCGTTTTGCTCATCGAAGGGAAATGCAGAAATTCTCTCACCTCGAACATCATTATAGGGCTTTGTCGTTCCACGGTTCCGCGTTTGATTGATTTTATGATGAAATCTATTGTAAAATTTGCACTTAGTGGCAGTTGCACTACGGCAGCTAGAGGAGAATCTTTTCTTTGAATACAAAATCCCAGCCACTCAATCCCTTCAGTTACCCTGCACAGCAGCTAGGAGTCCTTTGACGTCAAGTTCCTCTTAGTTCACTCGAAAGGAAAGTACCGGCTCGAGGACGTTCTCAATCGGATTTTCATTCATCTCTCGGTTTTGCTAGAGAAACAATGGAAGCAACCCTCAGCAGGGGGTTGGAAAGTTCCGGCAGCTGTACTTGTGCAATAATGTAATCTCGTACCTCTATGTGCAACGCAACAATGACCATTTGACTGAGGCCACCTTTGATCAGCTGATCTTCACGAACTCGTACAGAAGCCGAGAACCACATTTTGACACCGCTTTTGTCAACATTTGCGCTGCATCCAAGTCAACACGTTCCGACACAAGCCAGGCAGTTGATATCAGCGGCGAGTGGTAGTCCTAGTAAATCATCGGCGACTTTTGGGCAGCGAGGAAACTCTCGTCCATCATTGTAGCGATATGTGTGAGCTTTAAGATGCGGAGAGCTGTAAGATAAGAGCTGTAAGACAGCCTTGAATTTTTTCTAATTTTTATTTAAGAACCACAAGAAATGCGTTTATAATCCTCAGATGAAGCGTTTAGGACCACTTTCTTCAACTGCATCATTGCTTCTGCGTTCAGAAAAGAGGTTCCGGTAGCTAGGTCAGCGACACGCGCGTCACCAGTAGTTGTTTCTCGGAGAATCACCTCGGAAACCGGTAAAATATTGCAAGTGCGAGAGAAAGAATCTGCTCTGTTGCTAAACCCTAGAGCGCTCCTTACTGGATTCACCGTGGCAACTGCAAGATGGGCGACACTACTCAGCAGAAGCCCAAGAAAGGCGCAAAATGCATTTCTTTTTCACGATCGCATGTTTCAAAGCTGTTTCATCATAAAGCCTAGACGTTGGGTCTTTTCGCTTTTCATTAAATTTAGCCTCTACGGCCACCAGGTGATTGGTGCACTTGAGCATTTCCATTGCAACAAAAATTCAATTATCACTCGTAACTCGATAATGAGAACCTAACTAACCTTTTTGACTCGCAGCCGTCACTGTTCGAAGACCGAGAAGCGATATGCTGGAGACATGTTGCTGTTCTGGTGTATCTTTCGTAGATCATGGCTATACTGTAACAAAAATATGAGCCTTACTAATAAGCACAAGGAGAGGATATCCTTTCGTTTAGTCCCCGTCGGAAGGAAACGAAGGCTTAACAAATTTTTGAATCCCACCCCCTAGATAAATTTTGAAAAAAGCACATATAACATTGAGATTTAAAAAACAGTTTTCGGTTTTACCAATTGAATAATCCAATTATACATAATCAAAAATTTTGTTTTCAAAAGAAGATTTAATTTCGATTCGAATTTTTCCTAGACTAATAGCCTTGGTTATCGATATGTATAACCTAGTATACAGAACACCGGAGAACTCAAGGCACAATAGCCAATGTTTCATGACAACCTGTAAGCCGGATAGTTTGTGCTCACCATAACCGCCCATCAAGGAGTTTTAAACACAGTACAGTCATTTGATGTTCTTCCAAGTGCGAATGTGGATCACCGCATAAAGCCGTTTTTGTCTATAAGATGAATTAGTATTCATCATTGTGTTTGTTTGAAAATCCATTGATTTCACCGAACAATTACAGTCGGGCGTGGTACACCGCCGATTGCCCAATATGTTGCGAACAAATTGGCGTCTGATGTTGCAATACCGAAATGTTCACAAATGCAACATCACTCTGAAATTTCGCAACTCAGGTATTTCTCCAATATGAGTATGAGAATAATGAAGAGTTAAAGGCAAACTCCGGGACTGAACTAGTGCTATCAGCGCTCTGTAGTGATACCTTAGCTGCGGAACGACCTGAAAGTGGAAGGAAAGCAAGAGAAATCTTTGGAACGCTGAAATAAGGCCTTAACC